AACCGTCCACCAGCGTCAGCAGGAAGGTGATGAACTTATATACCAAAACCAGCTTTACAGCGGCCGAACATCCATGGTGGCTGACGCTCTGGAAACTGGAGACCTCAGCCTCAATCTGACAAAACTCCGCCTCTCTGACAGCGGCACCTACACCTGCACCGCCAGAGCATTAGGAGGACAACGGAGAGTGAGAGAAGTACAGCTGAAGGTCAAAGGTCAGCAACAAACCTTAAAACCTACTCTAGATCTGTGATTCCCAAACTGAGGGTCCTAAAAGTTTAATGGGGGCGAAGCTTTCTTGACTTTATGGCATGTAAGAAAACTAAATGAAAATATACACAGTAGGCCTAGATCTCAGCATTTGGTTCACTTATATAAAGAAAATTAAATATATAATTTTAAGTTAATTGTCTGATAGAACAATGGCCAAGCATCAGGGACAAGAAAACACTGAATTTGTCAGAAAAGACTATTAAGTTGTATGATTATTACAAATAATGAATAAATATATAATACAGACAGAGAATCATATAAAAAGTTCCCTAAACAGGAAATAATCTGCTCAAAATTCATTTAAATCACCTGTTTTACACAAGCTTCTTGCAGTGACTGAATTCACTGTTTGGCTAAATTGTACAGTTTTTAATAAAATATGTCACTCAGTCAGGGATTGTCAGTTTACTAAATGATAGAAAAGGGGTCCCTCAAAGGAAAGGGCTTGGAACCACAGCTCTAGATATAGGTCTGTAGAAAGGTCAGCTTTAGACACGGGTCAGAGGTCAGTTTTCTAGTTTACAGGCTACACACACTTTAGACGACATTAACTTTGTTACAGTGCTTCAACAACTGAACATCATTTAGTACAAGATGGACACAGATGGTCCCAATCACTCAGGGTGTGTCTCATCTGTATGAATGTCTTCACGTGTCCATCAGTCCTGTCTTCTCCCTGAGTATCTGTGGCTCCCACTGAAGACGTGATGGAGAGATAGAAGGAAAAGATGTGAGGAAAGAGGAGTTCAGACAGTAACACACTCATTTAAACACCATGTTGAATCAATAAAGTCAGTCTATCAGTTTGTTCTGTTATTTGTCTTATTGGTATTAAACTGTGCTCATGTGGTTTCAAAGTCCAATCACAAACACGACCAGATCCAGAAGCAATAAGACCTGAAATAAGGCTGCTGTGATTAAACCTCTCTTTCTGTTTGACCTCACAGTTTACCAGCATGCCTCAGCTGTGGAGTTGTATGACTGGGATGAGTTTGTCTTGCTGCCCTGTGAGTTCCAAACTTTTCAACTGGACAACCCCACAGTGGTGTGGAGCCGCTACGATCTCAATCCCCCAACCGTCCACCAGCGTCAGCAGGAAGGTGATGAACTCAAAGACCAAAACCAGCTTTACAGCGGCCGAACATCCATGATGGCTGACGCTCTGGAAACTGGAGACCTCAGCCTCAAGCTGACAAAACTCCACATCTCTGACAGTGGTACCTACACCTGCACCGCCAGAGCATTAGGAGGACAACGGAGAGTGAGAAACATACAGCTGCAGGTCAAAGGTCAGCAACAAACCCTAAAAACTAATATATATAGGTCAGAGGTCAGTACTGTAGATATAGGTCAGAGGTCAGAACTGTAGATATAGGTCACAGGTCAATACTGTAGATACAGGTCAGAGGTCAGTACTGTAGATATAGGTCAAAGGTTCATGTTCTTTATGTTTCTGTTTCCCACAGAACGATTTCCATCCTGGGCTAAAGCTCTCCTGGTTCTCCTGGTTCTCCTGGTTCTCAGTCTTATTGTTGGGGGGTCTTTTGGTGCATTTTCGGCAGTATTTCATGTCAGGTATGTCACTACTACATTACCCATAATGCCGATGGTTATCGTCTTTGCTCCTTGACTGCTCCTTGACGGTTTTGTGGTTTTCATAGAAGTATGGGACAGTGAGGTCTGGGATTATAAACCGAGGGTCACACTGTCTACCTGAGCAGCTGCAGCATAAAGAGACAGTGAAAATAGTCTGTTCATAGTCATATCAACATTATACAGGCAACATATTCACCTTTCACTGTAGTTTCAATGTCTGTATCTGTAGAATGTCGCACACAAGAAAAATATAAGTTTAAATTACTGAATACATTTATTTTTTATAAATTTTTATTAAAAGCTCTCAGGCGTTTCTATGGACAGAATCACTTCACATGTTAACAGAGCTTTTATTCGGCCCGGAGCACAAATCGTGCGAAAGCCCTGTTTTATTAGTAGGAATAATTATTATTATTCATAAAATGTAATGGCCTTTTTGGAGCCTTTATCATATACCAGAAGTCCTGAAAATCTGCCCACAAGTGCTAAAACTTAAGGAGCTGGTTTCTATAAACAGGTTTAAATCCTTTCTTAATGAGGTTGAAGCTGGCTCTTCTGTCTGTACATGCACTGTTTGACGATGTTCTGACTGTGACTCTATTTATATGTTCTCTGTTGTTTTTAAATGATTGTCTGTAACTGTGGAACTGTGCTGCTGCCTGTCTTGGCCAGGACTCTCTTGTAAAATAGATTTTTAATCTCAATGAGACTTCTGGTTAAATAAAGGTTAAATTAAAAAAAATAAAAATGTCAGTCGTGGTGAAGAATTTTATGGGTCTCTAACACGTGCACGGAAGCACTGCCTATTGAGCAGCCCCAACGGCACGTTTCACCTATGAGTATGAAAAGTGGAACACATGTAGATCACGTCCTGACGTCCTGACCATAAATTGCTCTTGGAGCCATATCCCAAACCCAACAGAAGTCGGACATTTTGGATTTACCAGCAATTTCTGGCGATTTGCACACATTGTATTTGAACAAATTCCTCCTAGGGAACTGTACGGTGGAATATAATATAATGTAATATAATATTATAATAGTATTATAATATAATTATAATATTATAATATTATAAAAGATTACGGCCAAGTGCTTAAAAAAGAAAGGAAAAGAAAGGAAAACGTTTTTACTGCCCTCTCCAAAACTTAGCCAACTTTCTTCTTCTTCTTCTTCTTCTTCTTCTTCTTCTTCTTCTTCTTCATGTCTTTCGGGTCTGGTCCCACAGGACTGGTCCATCCCTCAGGTCGGGTCCCCCTAGTGGCCTGGCGCACTTCCGTTTTGTCGAGCGAATTTGCAGCGTTTCTCTCGCAGTTGTTTTGTTGTTTTGTGTGTTTTTGGTATTTGGAGCATTTTTCTGTTGCATTTGTTTTATGTGTTTGTGTGTTTTTGGATTTACATTATTCCCGTGTTTGCAGCATTTTGCCGTTTGCAGCGCGTTTGCCCTTGTCGGCCACCGTAGAATTGATCTGATCAACTTCAAATTTGGTCAGTATGACGTAAACACCATCACATTAAAAGTAGTGCTGCTTGTGAGTTGGATCTGAAGGGTGTGTCTCTGCCGTGGCGCCAAGATTTGACGTTTCGCCATGAAACAAGAAGTTGTCATAACTTCGTTGTCCAATCTGCACCATAATGCACGTGTCTGATAAGCCTGAACACATCTGTGTGATAATATTCAGTAAAAGTGGTAGCGCCACCTAGTGGTAACCAGAAATATAATTTATTACACTTTTATGTATTTCTCCTAGCAGATTGACCGCATCCAGCGGAAATTTGGTCCTTAGACTGTTGACAATGACATCTTATGAATCTTATGACTTGTTATTGAACCATGTTGCCGACATGGTGAATATCACCTTGTTGTTTTAACATTTGATCGCATTTTGGGGGGCCAAACTGACTCAAAAACTCATGAAACTTGGCACACACGTCCCACATGTTAGCATTTTAAATTTCATCTGGGTGTTAACTGTGGGTGTGTCAAAATGGCTCGATAGCGCCTCCTACAAACTTTTAAAAAACCAGCCCTGGTGTCCTGTTTCACAAACACTATGTTGGGACATACAAAAAAGCCTCTTTGAGCCATATCCTAAACCCAACAGGAACTCAGCCATTTTGAATTTAATGTCAAACTGTGAGGCCATCCGGCAATTTCAGGGTTTCTATTTTAACAAACTACTTAGAGTAGTAACTACTTGATCAGAACAACTTCAAAATTGGTGAGTACAGTCCAGAGAAGTTCAGGATGCAACAGTATTGAAATCTTAACAACACAATTTGTACTGCGCTTCCATCAATACACCTGGAGAATGTCCGCTCTCTGGCCAACAAGATGGATGAACTGCTGCTCCTCAACAGAACAAATATAGACTTTTACAGATCTGCTGAGATATCTCTATCAACTACTGAATGCACTGACATCAAGTTTGGTACATTTGGTACATTTTCACTGGATTGGGACAAAATGTGGTTCAGATGTTCATGTTCCATCTCCAGGTTAAAATGAGTCTAATACTTTGGTTTCTGACTGAATGCTGAAAAAACTGATGACCAGAGTTATTATAGTTTGCTTTTTTCAGTAGGTTTGTTATTTATAGTCTGTTATAATCAATGTAATGTGACAGGTTGAAAAATAATGAAGGAACGTGAACAAAATGAAATATTTAGTTTGAAGATAAAGTGTAAAATATAATATCACAGAAGCCAAAAGACTAAAAGTTGAAATAAGATGTTTTTGTGTTGAAAGTTCAGATCTTAAAGTGTCAAAGCATACTGGAGCTCCTGTAGCTAATGTGTCCCTGTAACTAAAAAAAACTCCAAATAAGATCAAACTGCTCATTAAGACAAGTGACATTTACTTAAATTCAGTCAAACAGCCTTCCATAGTGAGCACTAGATCATCAGTTCACACTCAAAACAAGTCCCACTAGATTTTAAATCTAAATATCAGATTATCTGACTGACTTAGAAATAGATTTTCTTCAGTGCAGCTGATGTTGTGGTTTGTTGTCCTCTCAGTCTACCAGGTGGAGGTGGATTCAGGGGTGGAGTCTGTCCTGCTGCCCTGCAAAACCACAGTTCACTTGCTAAAGCACGTCACAGTGGAGTGGACGGACAGATACAGGAAGGTCCATGTGTATCAGAACAGCTCTGATCAGCCTGAAGAACAGAACCAGTTTTACAGAGACCGAACAGAGATGAAGAGAAACCTACTGGAACCTGGAGACCTCAGTCTGACCCTGAAATACCCCACATACAGAGACATTGACATCTACACCTGCACCGTCTACAACAGGGAGAGAGAGATCCTGATGAAGAAACAAGTGCTGCTTGAGGTCAAAGGTCAGTACTGTAGATACAGGTCAAAGGTCAGTGCTGTAGATACAGGTCAAAGGTCATTGCTTTGAATATTGTATCATACTAACGAAAGCTGCAATAGAATGTTGTACAGAGAGAGAGAGAGAGAGAAAGAAAGAGAGAGAGAGAGAGAGAAAGAAAGAGAGAGAGAGAGAGAGAGAGAGAGAGAGAGAGAAAGAAAGGAAGAGAGAGAGAGAGAGAGAAAGGAAAAAAACAGAGAGAGAGAGAAAGAAAATCATCACTTTAGATCTAAACAAAACAAAACAAACAACAAAAATAAATAAATATAAAAACAAAAGAACCCGTCGACCAATCTTTCATCAGAAAGTCATATTTAGCTCTCCACCCCCACAGAGCATAAACCCCCCCCAACAGCCCATATATGACTGAAGGCCTGCAAATTGTCCACCATCTGTGGTAAGCATGTTCCACCCTCAGATGTGCCTTCAGTAGTCCCTTCAGAACCAGCACCGGTTCCACACTGCTGGCACCCTGAGTCCGGTTCCTGCGGGTCAGCCAGATTGCCAACTTAGCAGAACCAGATAAAAAGTTCATCAGTGTTATTACAATCTTATTTGTTGCATGCTATTTCTGACCAAAAATAAACCAATCAAAAGAAAACTCTTCCCCCAGACCCTGAAACCCCTTTTTAAAAGCTGGAACAGCGCCAACAACCGAGGACACTGAACAAATAAATGAAACAAGGTCTCAGTCTGAGAACAGAACACACAGTCCTCCTCCTGCTCTGGATCCAGGTGCGCTCTGTATCTTTTTGTAGCTATTGCCCCGTGTACAACCCTCCACTGGAGGTCTGCTGTTCGCTTTTCAACAGGCAGCTTGTACAGGGACCACCAGCTGCCTTTTGGGGAAATGTCTGGACCAAAGAACTCAGTCCACCTCCACTCCTTCTTCCCTATCAAAGAGCGCAGGTTCAGAACCTTGACGCTGATCTGGTAGACTGCCTTCTTCCCTGCATCCTAAAACTTGTCCAGCTGAGGAGGTATGAGGGACAGCAGCTCACCTCCTCCCTCCTGCCACTCCCCCACAGCTGGGGTGAGAGTCAGAGAGGGGAGACTGTACTCATACTCCTCACTCCACTGGTCGCACAGAGCATGGTCTTCTGCAAATGCTCTCACGGGTTGTGGCAGTGCAGACTTCCTCCAGCACTCTGTTGATCAACCTGATGGAGGTGATGTTGCTGTTCTCCACCATTGTTGCTGTCATCTTCATCAGATGGCCCAGTTTGGTGCAGCCAGCCTCTCTGAGATTGGCTCTCAGGCTGGCAGACTGCAGTGTTTGAGTCTTGATGAAATTGTTGAAAAACGATTCTTTAAACAACCACATGCCTGGAGTTTCGTTTGTGGCACGCATGGCTTAAAGATCTGCCAAGCCTGCAGCACAGAGCTGTAAAAAGGTGTCAGTCCAGTTAGATCCAGGTCCTCGGGCCGCAGGAGGAAGAGCTGTTTATCGTAGCCCAAGCGCCCAGCTCTCCTCAGGCGAGCTGTATCAAACCAGCTTGGGCCACAGTCATATAGTAGTCTTTTTGCAGTCTGTATTCTAAAGGAGGCAATCTTAGACTGGATGTTGATCAGTCCCTGACCTCCTTCAGTCACAGGCAGGTAGAGGGCTGCTGGCCAGACCAGAAAAAGTCAAGGATGGGTCTCTGAATGTCCTCCATCAGGCCTCTTTGTGGTGTCAGAGCAATGAGTCTGTGCCACAGAGTCGAGGCGACCGGGTTATTAGCCACCAGAGCTCTTCCCTTATATGACAACAGGGGTAGCAACCATTTCCATTTAGACAACTGAGCGCACACTTTCTCCTGAACTCCCCTCCCAGTTCTTTACCTGAAAGCCCTCGGTGTCCAAAAAACACTCCTAGCACTTTCAGACCCTTCTTCCCCCACTCAAGTCCTCCAGGCAGCCTGGGCACTGCCTGGTCCCTCCACTGCCCCATCAACAAAGCCTCACTCTTTGCCCAGTTCACCCGTGCAGCTGAGGCCTTTTCATACAGCGACAGGGTGTCCTTCAAACATTGAACGTCCTCCTGATTGGTGACAAAAATATTTACATCATCTGCATAAGCAGAAACAGTAGGAGGACGATCAAGATTTGAGGACCCAGGCAGTGAGAGACCACTGAGACGATCCCTCAACCTGCACAGCAACGGTTCAATAGCTAAGCTATACAGTTGTCCTGAGATTGGACAACCCTGTCTTATCCCACGCTGTACAGGGACTGGCCGACTCAGCCCTGCCCCCATCTTCACCATACATTCAACAACGCTGTAAAATAAACCCACCCAAGCCAGAAAACCATCACCAATACCAAAAGCCCTAAGTGCAGAAAACAAATAAGAGTGATCCACCCGATCAAAGGCTTTCTCCTGGTCCAAAGAGACAATATCAAAATTAACATTTTCAAATTTACAAACATCTATAACATCACGAATGAGGAATATGTTGTCCATGATTGTCCTGTCATGTACATAATAGCTCTGATCTGCATGCACGATTATTTCCAAGACGTCCTTTAGTCTATTTGATAAGGCTCTAGAAAGCATCTTATAGTCTGTGCAGAAACAACACATCCATCCTTTTTTGAGTTGAGACTTCAGATATTAATGCTCTTTTATATCTGTCTCTCCCACCGTTAATGTTTAAAGATCCTATTTGAGGTCGGAGAGGAGAAACAGGTAAAAAGAAACGAAGAACAGTAAAAAGAGGAAATCACCGTGTGGTACATGATCATTTTACCTTCTTATCCTTTTGGTAGTTTTACCTTTTATTGCTTTTCTCAGAGTAGTGAGATGTTTATTCAGATGGAAGCGTTTCTTTTCATCCAATAAGTCAAACCCAACCAGTTGTACATTGACGGATCTGATGAACTTTTCAGTGTCGCTGAAATAATCAATTACTCTGACAGATTTGTTAAAAGTTACATCCAGAAAATGACTGATTTCGTCTAAAGAATATAGATCTGTGTTCCTGTTAGAGGTTTCACCGATGGATGTAGTGTCTGATTCAGTGTCATACTCCATGTCTTCTCCTTCACATGATACCTGACTGAAACCCTGTCCTTCCTGTGTGCTCACAGTGTCTCTGTCTGCACTGATGGAAGCTTCCTCAGTGTCTGCAGACTGAGAACTACCCAGGTTCTTTGCAGCCACAGAGGCATGTTGCTCCTCAGGGTTGCTCTGATCTACCATAACCAAATCATTAGTGTTACAATGTGAACCAGTGGCACCGGCTGCTGCGCGGGAACATCAAGATCTGCCACGGGCGCCGCCACAGGCGTGTTTTGTGCATAGTTTCTTCATCGGCCTTGTGCAGGCTTCATTTTCCCCATCACAGAGTTTCAGTAGGGGGCCGCTGAGCTCCGTGAACCCAGGGCCCAGGTGGATCTCTGGATACGGGTCTGTAGGCTCAGGATCAGCTTCTCCCCTGCAGTGTTTGAGGAGAAGGGCTCTCTCCTTCTCTGTCAGCCTCTTCTTCCAGAGCTCCAGGCTCCTCTGCGTCAGACGGACAGAGCGCACCCCCAGCACAGAGCCCAGAGCTTGGTTATCTGTGAGTGCCAGTCCTGCTGCATCTACCAGCTGATTCAGGCAGACAATTTTTGAGCTGCACAGCGCCCCCATCAGCCTAGGCACGGTGCTGCAGCACACGTCCAGTTTGGCACCACAGATTAGAGGCTCCTTCAACAACCAGTACAGAGAGTCACACTTCTCACTTCTTTTACATTTAAACAGTGTCCAGGATTTAAAAACACCCTGGTAAAAAGGAGGCAACCCACCTAACTTTAAGAATTTAAAATCAGTTAAAAACAGAGCAGCATCCAGCCCCAGTTTATTGACACGCCTGAGTATGCAGCTGGCCATGTCTCTCCACACCAGATCTTCAGGTCCAGTCAGATATTTTTGAATAAACTGGAGCCTGAAGGTGGCTGTCCTACTAGCCAGGTGGACCCTGGCCTCCCTCATCTCTGGATAAAAACAACACCGATTGTGGTATCCAGTGCAATTTATCCCAGAAGAAATTGACCATCTTAACTTGAATCTGAGCAATGAGACCTGTTGGATGGTCCAGACAGCCGGTGCCATAACATGGAGGCCACTCAGTTATTTAAGATTAGGACCCTCCCTCTAAAAGATATTTGTGAGTGGAGCCACCTCCACTTAGCCAGTTTGTTATCCACTTTCTCCATGATGCTTTCCCAGTTTTTTTTTTTCCCATGTCTGTCCCGAGATAAACACCAAGAAGCTTTAAGCCTTCTCTTCTCCATGTCAGGCTTTGAGGGTGAACAGGGAGGCCCTCACGCCACTCACCAACAGCAAGGGCCTCACTCTTCTTCCAGTTCACCCTCGCAGCCGACACAACAGAAAACTTCTCAATTAGAGAGTTTAAAACACATACATCCTGTTGATCTTTGAAAAAAACAACGACATCGTCAGCATAAGCAGGTAAAACAACACTACTGTTAAAACGAGGTAAAAACAGGCCTCGAACAGATGATCTTATCTTTTGTAGGAGGGGTTCTAGGGAGAGTGCATAGAGAATCCCAGACTGTCGGACGCCTCTGTGCACTCTAAAAGGAGCACACAAGCCACCATTAAACTTCAGCACACTCTCAATGTCACTGTACAACACCTTGATCTTGGATATGAGACCAGCGCTGAACCCAAACCTCTCCATGACCTTCCAAAGGAAGTCGTGTTCAACACGGTCAAAAGCCTTTTCTTGATCTAATGAGATCAATCCAGTGTTTATGCCTAATGAACTGGAGACCTCCAAAACATCCCGAATGAGGTAGATATTATCTACCATAGACCTGCCGGGCACACAGTACGTCTGGTCCCGGTGGAGAATCTGCTCCATGGTTCCTTTCAGCCTATTGGCCAGGACTTTAGACAGTATTTTGAAGTCAGTGCAGAGGAGAGAGACAGGACGCCAGTTTCTGATTTCTTGCAAATTACCTTTCTTGGGCAAGAAGTTGATGATGCCTCTCCGACATGAGAGTGGCAGTGACCCAGACACCAGGCTCTCATTAAACACATCAGTGATTTCATGGGCCAAGATGTCCCAGAAGGCTTTGTAGAACTCTACAGTGAGGCCGTCGATGCCTGGAGCCTTTCTCCCCTGCATGCTCTGCAGTGCAGCGTACAGCTCTTGTGGAGTCAGTGGGCTGTCGAGCTGTGAGTTAGCCTCTCTAGACACCTGAGGAAGTCCACCACAGACCTCCTCCATCAGTTCTTCATTTTCTTTAAATTTGCTTTCAAACAACGAGGCATAAAACTCGACAGCTCTTTTCCTTATCAGGCCTGGCTCTGTTAGCTCTTCCCCTGTCTCAGAGAGCAGAGAGTGGATTTGTCTCCTCTGCCCTTGTTTCTTCTCAAGCCCAAAGAAGAAACTTGATGGAGCATCCAACTCTGTGATGTTTTGAACCCGGGACCGGACCAGCGCACCCTGTACTTTAGTGTCCAGCAGGTTGGCTAATGCCATCTTTTTAGTCTTGAGGATTTTAATATATCCTTGATTTCCTGTGGACTCACTTATACACTCGAGATCCACAATATCAGTCTCCAGATCTTTGATAGATCTGGTGATGTCACGTGTGACATTGAGCATGTGCTGCTGACATAAAAGTTTAATGTGAACCTTTCCATGGTCCCACCACTGCCTCAGACTGACAAACTCGTTTTTCTGTCTAAAATCGTTCCAAAATTAGCTTAAAGCTAAGATTTATCAACAGTTAAAACAGAGTTAAAATGCCAATAGGCGCTTTTGGATAAAATGTTTCTGATAAAAACGTTACACAAAACCAAAGAATGATCGGTAAAACCAACTGGTAAAATCTTACACATTTTTATAACACTGACTTTGTGCTTAAAAACATAAAAACGATCAAGTCTGGCCAAAGACATTCTGTTTTCTCTAACGTGGGACCATGTGTACTGTCTGCAGCCTGTGTGCATCCTTCTCCACACGTCCACCAGGCCATGGGAGGAGACCAGCTGCCTCAAGGCATGCTGGGATACTGGATGAGGCTCTGCATGGTTGCGATCTAAAATCTAATTTTCAGTACAATTAAAATCCCCACCCACGAATAAATAATCCTCCGGGCCACAGCTGTTTAAAATATCATTCATCTTTCCAAAGTGTTTCCTCTCTGCACCGTTGTTTGGAGCATAAATGTTGATAAAAACCACATTAAAATGTTCAAAACGAGCTCTGATTGAAAGACACCTCCCCTCCACAACATGCCTGACCTCCAGAGAGGTTGGAGTAAAACCTCTGGAGAACAGGAAGCCCACTCCTCCACTGAGGGTGGTGTTATGGCTTAAAATCAGTTCTCCTTCCCATTCTCTGCTCCAGTCTGCCTCGTTTCCAACATCACTGTGAGTTTCTTGTAGAAACATCAATATGTTTCATTTTAGCCATTTCAAACACTACTGCTCTCTTTCTTGTTTCTCTGGCACCATTGACATTCAGACTGCCTACTTTAAAAACATTCATAATGATAAAGATGTTAAGAACAAGACTAAAAACAATCAATGAAATAAATAAAAGTAAAATCTGTACATTCACCATCATTAAAGAACGAGTTGTTTCCTGACTTTAATCATCAGTTTTTTCAGTCTGAATACTTCTTGGTCTGCCAGGTCTGACTCGGCTCTGTGTTTTACAATATACCTGGCTGAATTATAGAAACCCTGCTGTTGCGGAGAGAAGGACTGTATGTTGTTTTAGGTGGATTCGCTGGAACACCTCATCCACACAGACACTCCGACTAGAGAGCGAGGCCGGACACAGTAGAACCGTTAACGTGGCTTTAATGAAGAAGCACGACTCCAATTACATACAGCTCGGTGTTTCTGGTTTACTGCTTACAGTCTGACTCTATTGTCTGCACTGTTTGAGGCTTTACATTGGTCTGATTGACTCTCTTCTGTATGGTATCTGCAATGGACAAACACAATATACATGAGAAGGTGCGCTAGCTTAATGAGCACATATTAACTTCGCCTCAACTTAGTCAACAGCTGCCAGTCAGTTAGCACATTAAACATCAAATAAACACTGCTGCACAAGTAACGTTAGCTTATAGAGCCGAAATTCAACGCTTCATTTGCATATCAAAGAACTTTATTATCACAAACGCAGACAGGTATCAATGTAATGAACCAGAAGGCCGCGAACAGCTCAACGTCACGTTCCCAAGGACCCCTTAGCTGCCCAACGAGGTGCCTGATGTAAAAACACTGAATTCAGCACTGACCAGTTCCTGCACAATAAAACACAGTAATAATGGGGAATTTACAACAGCTGCATATCAGGGAAGAACTGTTCTAACATTAATTACCTCATCCCTTTGGTATGTTGTAAAAAAGACTTCAGTACATTGGCAGTATACACCTGAGCAGCAGCCTGCTGAGTGTGAGACAGGTCACTGCTGTCAGACACACACCCTTCACTGTCACTGCTGTCAGATAGAGCTGCTCTGTTCTCTGCAGCACTCGGTTTACCGGCCAGACGTCCGGCTTTACCACCCACCTCCACGGTCAACATGCTTCTCCTCTTACTGCGCTGTTTAAGAGGAGCAGACCCCCACCCAGACTCACAGGCCTCCATCTCTTGAGCCTCAGCTACTGTGCTCCCCTCACTCCAGCTCACCTGCTAGTTTACCTGTCTCACACGACTCACCTACAGCCTCACCTGCCTCTCTCTCCTTACCTGCTTCACACTGGTCACCAGAGACGGGTTGAAAAATAATGAAGCAACGTGAACAAAATGAAATATTTAGTTTGAAGATAAAGTGTAAAATATAATATCACAGAAGCCAAAAGACTAAAAGTTGAAATAAGATGTTTTTGTGTTGAAAGTTCAGATCTTAAAGTGTCAAAGCATACTGGAGGTCCTGTAGCTAATGTGTCCCTGTAGCTAAAAATAACTCCAAATAAGATCATGCTCATTAAGACAAGTGACATTTACTTAAATTCAGTCAAACAGCCTTCCATAGTGAGCACTAGATCATCAGTTCACACTCAAAACAAGTCCCACTAGATTTTAAATCTAAATATCAGATTATCTGACTGACTTAGAAATAGATTTTCTGCAGTGCAGCTGATGTTGTGGTTTGTTGTCCTCTCAGTCTACCAGGTGGAGGTGGGTTCAAGGGTGGAGTCTGTCCTGCTGCCCTGCAAAACCACAGTTCACCTGCCTGAGGACGTCAGAGTGGAGTGGACAGACAGTTACAACTGGAAGGTCCATGTGTATCAGAACGGCTCTGATCAGCCTGAAGAACAGAACCAGTATTACAGAGACCGAACAGAGATGAAGAGAAACCTGCTGGAACCTGGAGACCTCAGTCTGACCCTGAAATACCCCACAGACAGAGACACCTTCACCTGCACCGTCTACAACAGGGAGAGAAAGATCCTGATGGAGAAACGAGTGGAGCTTGAGTTCAAAGGTCAGTGCTGTAGACACAGGTCAAAGGTCAGTGCTGTAGATACAGGTCAAAGGTCAGTGCTGTAGATACAGGTCAAAGGTCAGTGCTTTAAATATTGTATCATTGTTAGCTTTCTGGTTCGTAGTAGCTATATTGTTATTAAGCTAGTAGCTATATTGTTATTAACAATTTGCACCAATACACTTGGACAATGTCCGCTCGTAGCATAGCATTAGCTTGTAGTATTCCATTAGCTCTGTGGCTCGTAGCATAAAGCTAGCTCTCTGTAACGTTAGCTTGTAGCATAACGGGTTTGTTGTTCTCTCAGAGCATAAGGTGGAGGTGGAGGAGGGGGGCGAAGTCTGTCCAACTGCCCTTCAAGACCACAGCTGACCTGCCTGAGGACGCTGAAGTGGAGTGGAGACGCATTGAACCTGAACCCACAATAACAGTCCATGTGTATCAGAACAGTTCTGACCAGCCTGGACAACAGAACCAGGATTACAGAGACCGAACTGAGATGAACGAAGACCTGCTGAAAACTGGAGACCTCAGTCTGACCCTGAAATGCCCCAAAGAGAGAGACACAGGAAGATACGGCTGCAGAATCTACAACAAGGAGGGAAACATCAGATACTTACTGAGAGGGAAAACAGTGGAGCTCACAGTCAGAGGTCAGTACTGTAGATACAGGTCAAAGGTCAGTGCTGTAGATACAGGTCAAAGGTCAGTACTGTAGATACAGGTCAGAGGTCAGTACTGTAGATACAGATCAGAGGTCAGTGCTGTAGATACAGGTCAAAGGTCAGTACTGTAGATACAGGTCAAAGGTCAGTGCTGTAGATACAGGTCAAAGGTCAGTACTGTAGATACAGGTCAGAGGTCAGTACTTTAGATACAGATCAGAGGTCAGTGCTGTAGATACAGGTCAGAGGTCAGATGTCTCTGTGTCTGTCTGTGTCTGACTGTCCTCTGTCTCCTCTGCAGAGAGAACCAGGAACAGAAGCAGCTCCATTGATCCAACTCCTCTGATGGCTGATCAATCTGTTTGATTGGTCTGTTGATCAATCTTTGATTATTGATCTTGTTGAAGGGGCTCAAAGGAAGAGAATGTCAACGTTCAGCTTTCAGTGTTTCCTCTCTTCATCGTCTGAATGAACCTGCAGTCCATACTGTGATTGATTGATTGACTGATTGATTGATTGACTGATTGATTGATTGATTGATTGATTGATTGATTGATTGGTCTCATGTAGCTCTATAATGTTTCTCTGATGTTTGTGTATTCAGCTTCTATACATATATATCTGGCTGTGTCTCAGGAGGTAGAGCGGGTCGTCCACTGATCAGAAGGTTGCTGGTTCGATCCCCGGCTCCTCCCGCTGCATGTCGAAGTGTCCTTGAGCAAAATACTGAACCCCAAACTGCTCCTGATGCTGAATCACTGTATGAATGAGTGAATGAGTGAATGAGTCAGCTGAACTGTTCTCATGTGTTTGAATCCATAAAGTGTTGTGAGCAGATGAGTTATGGATTCGATCATTTCACACTCTGTTTAGAGAATGATGAATATTGAGGAGAACAACTGTAAATAAAGCTCAAATGTACAGAAATCATTTCTCCACTCTGACAGCATCATGAAAATGGATCTAAAGCTGTGAGAATGATGGATTCAGGAGGCATCAAAACTTTGATTACTACTCTCTTCTGAAATAACAAAAGTGCTCAGTGTGACGGCCTTATTGTGTTCCTCTTGCTTGGTTGTTTACTCTTTGTTTCAGGTAGTAAGGGGTGGAGCTGAGATTACTCTCTGCTGCAGCTCACCTGAGCAGACTCTCTCACTCTCTTCCTCTGGCTGCTGACTGAACTGTTGGGTTTTGTTTGTGTTCTGGGTTTTACATTCATACATATACACCTCACCCTTCACTCACATATTAAACTGTACTGATTATTTTGGTATTTACTTCATTAAATTGTCAGAACAATTCACAGACTGTGTGGTCTCCGTCTTTGTCCCACTCTTTTGAGCCAGGTTGTGACTTCAGTTTGCCTTTAGTTATTGATGATACTCATCTATGTGAAGACACTGATCACGTTAATGATTTCTCACAATAATTATCAACAATGACTTTAAAAGGTGGGAAACAGATATTAACTAATCTATTAACAATATTCAATCTCATATTTAGAAGAGGCCTGAGGGCGACTATATTCCAGTATAAAGTGTCTGTTACACTCCGGTTGTATTACAGCAGAGTTCAACTGTATTTATAGCTCATTTAAATATCTTTAATTAAACATTAAAAAGACAAGAAAATAGAAAAAATATTTTAAGTAAAATGAAATCTAAAAACTGTTTTTAAATTATAGAAAATTCTGTTATTTTCTGATATTTTTCAGTATTGTTGGAATATTACTAATAATTTATTTTACAGTGTATTTACATGTTAAACAAGTTTAATACACAGAATATAATATAATAAATAATAATGAATATAATAATAGTTCCAGTGTAAAGTGTCTGTTACCCTCCGGTACGGTAGGGGGCGCCACGCAGCTCTAACGTCGGTTTGTAGAAGAAGAATCCTGAGTTTTGGAGGACTGGACTGTGAATGGACAGGAGATGGCAGAAGGAAGTGACGGATCAGGAAATGAGTTAGGAATGGAGATAGATGGCGGGAGAAATGAAAGTTGGAGTGAAGTGAAAACGGGGAAAGCCAGGCAAAAACGCAAGAAAATAAAAGTGAGGCAAATAGGAAGGAGCTCAATGTCAGAAGAAACAGATAGTGAACAAGCGAGAGGGGATGAGGAAGAGCGTAAGGTAATCATCAGACTGGAACAAGAAGGTGCTTCATTTGGTGAGTGGAACCCGGTTCTACTTACCAAGGGGATAAACAGTCTATTGGGAGAGATAAAGAGTGTGAAAGTTCTGCGCAGTGGAGCACTGCTGATTCTTTGCTGAGACAGCGCACAACTGGAGAAAGCGAATAATAATAATAATAATAATAATAATTAAAGATTATACAACCATAAACTGTTACAATGCACACCCTGTAGCTACGTCATCATTTATGTAACTTCAACTTGTAACAGCAATTTTAACATTTTATAACAGAGATTTGATTGATATTCATTTATTTATAAGACAAGAATCTTATTCTAAGAACAAGTTTCCATAAATGTTACAATTTAAACACATTTAATTGGTTAAACATCTAAAAATTATATTTGAGGATTGCTTTATTCTCAATGACTCTTCAGTTGGAAACAATCAGAAATACAGAATATGTATTATATATAATATATATGTGATAAATGAGTCTGTAGTTACTGCACTACCTATATATCTGTTTATATCTGTTTATATCGGTTTATATCGGTTTATGTTAATACAAAGACATTTACATTCTGTATGGTGAGGTAGAAATTACAGACAAAAATATGTAAAATACTACACATTATTCATTCAATTAAAATGGACATTTAACTATATTTTCTATTTTCTATTAAAATGATATCAATATTAAATTCAAAATTAAACAAGGTTGAATGTCCCACACTTAAAAAGGCATTTTTAATAAATCATAAATCATTTATTCTTTATATTCCTCTTGGTGTCAATCAACAATAAAAATAAATGTGTTTTTATTTCTCTAATTTCTGCCAGAGACACAAAAACGTTTTTTCACTTTTATTTTGAAAATCCGTAAAGAAGGCGGTATCAAACCCCAAACTGCTCCTGATGCTGAATCACTGTATGAATGTGTGAATGAGTGAATGTGTGAATGAGTGAATGTGTGAATGAGTGAATGTGTGAATGAGTGAATGAGTGAATGAGTGAATGTGTGAATGTGTGAATGAGTGAATGTGGCTGTAGTGTAAATGGCTTTGAGTGGTCAGAACACTAGACAGACACTAAGTTCAGTCACTTTCTGTGATTGAATGAAGTTATTGTTTGAGTGTCAGTCAGCTGAACTGTTCTCATGTGTTTGAATCCATAAAGTGTTGTGAGCAGATGAGTTATGGATTCGATCATTTCACACTCTGTTTAGAGAATGATGAATATTGAGGAGAACAACTGTAAATAAAGCTCAAATGTACAGAAATCATTTCTCCACTCTGACAGCATCATGAAAATGGATCTAAAGCTGTGAGAATGATGGATTCAGGAGGCATCAAAACTTTGATTACAGCGCCCCCATGTGGCAGAGCGGGAGCAGATTTCTCTTATTGTATCTACGTGTGATGATGGAGGCCATGTGTCTCAGATTGATGATTTCCTTTAATAACATAATGAGTGTAAACTGTGTCTGTAGTGACAGCGTCCATAAAGCGTTATCAGCAGTGAAATATCTGCAGCTTCCACAATCTAATATTGATTCTCACTAATTACAGTTGCTCAATCACATCAACTGTTAGTTGCCGCCTGTACGGCCTGTTGCTCTGCTCCATGGGGACGGCACACTCGTCACACTCCAGGAACTGTCTGAGTTGATTCTGGCGCCCCCTGTGGACAACAGCGGTAGTGTTTCTACTGCCTGGTTTCATTGATTTCAAGGGGAATCCGACCCGGTGGCAGACATTAACAATAACTATATAGAAATATCCAATCTTCTCTCTGATTGTTTATGTACAATAACTCACTGTAGGACATTTAAAGTAGTAACTCTATGATTCAACAGGTGAAGGTCCCATTGCGTCAAGCCCCGCCCCCTTTTAAGTGAAAGCACTGCCTCTAATTTGACTGGTGGTAAATGTAAATTCTGAGCTCGTAAAATAACATTACTGTATTGTTTGTATCTATTAGGAGCATAAATCCTATATCCAGCAAACAATGCTGTTGTGTTGTTGTTCTATATAAAATACACAAATAGTTATTGATGAGTGTCCTGACATATACAGCGACCTTATTCAATCTCATATTTCTGCTGTCTGTCACTGTTTCTGTGCTTCACACTCTTTATTAACTGTTTGTGTCCAATGTGACGTTACTGTAAACTAATTCCAGGGTTTGTGTTTATTAATCTACCTTTTACTACGAGACCACAGAAGAAGAAAACAGGAGGGTTTATCTCCACTTCCTGTTACTGTCTGCTGTTTCCAAGGTTCATTATTAGAAGGTAGGTCAGCTCAGTTTATGGGAATTGTTAAGGTTCAAATCCCCTCTGCTCCACACTGTCACACCAAACTCCATTCAAAAAACGGCTGTTTTAAGGAAGTAAAACCTTTATTTCCACCATCAGTGAGACTCTGATTCTCTTCAGTCTACAGACACAATCTGCTCACATTGACTCAGTAACATCATTAACTAACCTGTGAGGAAGAGTTGGACACAGACACACTCACTGACTGTCTGTCATTAACTAACCTGTGAGGAAGAGTTGGACACACACACACTCACTGACTGTCTGTCATTAACTAACCTGTGAGGAGGAGTTGGACACACACACACTCACTGACTGTCTGTCTATCATTAACTAACCTGTGAGGAGGAGTTGGACACACACACACTCACTGACTGTCTGTCTATCATTAACTAACCTGTGAGGAAGAGTTGGCACACACACACTCACTGACTGTCTGTCATTAACTAACCTGTGAGGAAGAGTTGGACACACACACACTCACTGACTGGTTTTAATGTGTCACTCTTTATAACACACTGTAAAACTATTTACATGACTAATGTAAAATAAACACTGTGGCTGGAAATAATCAGAACATTACTGCTTATTTAATGAACATTTCCTTTTTTTATTTAATAGATTAAATTAATAATTAATAGGTTAAATTCATTCATCATTAATACATTTCTAAAGTTATGTAAAATTAGTGACATTAACAATAGAAATGTTTTATAATTAGTCAGTGTAATCAGTGAGGCCCCGCCCCCAGAAACAGTCTGTTTTCAACCTAATTCTTGTCTCATCTGTGGTCTGATAAACAGTAAATGAAGTCATTGAAGTGTCCATATCACTATTGTCCTGGGTTCATCTACAGTAGGTTAAACAATGATAGATACAGCTACTGAGGCACACACACACACATCTCTCCTCACACTGCAGATCTGCCACAGCAGAAGCTAAAGTCAGGTGGAGAAAGAGCCAACTGAGTCCTGCCTGAGTTGGAACTGATGAACTGTCTGTATTTGCAGCTCTTGGAGCAAATACTGAGACTGCTTCATTATATGTATGTACACATTGACATATCTCAATACATTGTGACATCATGAAGAAGATAGTTTGATATCATTATTGTACAAATGAAAAGTGTTTCTGTTACTGACATTAAAATGTTTTTGAAATAAAGGTGAATATTAAAAGCTTGTTTTGCTGAACGCTTCAGTTATTTAATGATTGATAAAGTAGTTCTGTCAGTCTGTCTGTCTGAGGCTGCTTCATGCTGACACAAACCAACAGCTATAACAAATATGAGGAAACTGAACCTCCTCCTGTTTCCTCAGAAGTGATCTGTGGCAGTCGGACTTCATTCCAGAGAGCTGCTTTATCAAACTCTGAACCTGATCCTTCTCTGCCTCCTTTCAGTCCAGTGACTGCTGTCTGTGTCCGGTGGGAAGCCCTTTACTTATTTCAGCTTTTAAAGGTCCAGTGCGTAGGTCGATAAAAACGTCTCATTCTAAGGTAACGAACACACAACCATTCTTATTTTCAGCTGATTAAACACTAATGAAAACAAACCTATGGATATTATATTTCTGACAATAGATCCTCCTCAGTGTTACACATCAATAAAGTGTTTCTGATTTACATCCCATAACTTACTGATTTTACCCCAAAAATTACATAACCAAGTGCTCTTGTTGCTTCAACCAAATAGTGTGTTTGCTTTATTGTAAGCCACAGTTTTAGGTTATAAATGAACAGTGAGGGTCCCCAGCTTTTACACAATACTGGAGGCTAACTTGCATATGTTTTGCATAATTAGCTAAATGAACCAGAAGTGGATCTGTTTATTCTTAAATGCAGGTCTAATGTATTAAGCACATAACCTCAAAATGGACTCAAAAATAATGAAACTCAGAGTTGAAATATAACCACTTCCAGTTTAAAGGGCCAAGCAGCTGCTGGAATATTGTCCATATAGGTGATTATGCTAATGAATGCTTATTGCACAACATATGTAAGTTAGCAGTTTGTAAATGTTGGAGACCCTGACTGTACATTAATAACATCAAACCTTTCTCTGTTCACATTATTGTCAACTGGACTAAAACTGAGCGTTTCACAACCCAAATGTTTAACGTCCTTCAGGTCCAGTGTGTCTGTCACTGCTCTACTCTCCACCGCTCATATATGTCGTTTTGGGAGTTATTGGCAATCAACCAATAATGTTTGTGTGAAAGCTGCTCAGCCGGTTTCTTTCCATTCCAACGGCTGCTTCTCTGGAAACAGTTTAAAGTGAAACTAAAGTTTTCTCCTCACAGTGTCGGCAGATTATCAGGAGGAGGAAAGTGACAACTGGCTGTGAACTGAATGTGTTTTTCAAGTGTTCGTTTAGTGAGAAGCAGATTAATGAGGACTTTGTGGTTGTTGTAGTTTTTACAGGAAGATGAAGATGTTTGTGGTGTTTGTGATCCTCGTGCACGGTAAGATAACCTTCCTCCCTCTGATCTGATCATTAGTCCAACATCATGTCTTTAATCTGTATTTCTTTCATCTTCACTTCATTAGTCTGTTTAAACTCCAATAAAAACATGAAGAACATATTAAAGGCAGCATATTTTCAATGTTTGTGTAAATCATGATGAATGTAGAAGACTGTACAGTCAGACTGTCCTCAGTTCTGTTCTTCAGGATTATATCTCTGGAGGTTGTTCACATTCTTATAGCTTATATTACCAATAGTATTAATGATCCTAACACACTCATTTAAACACCATGTTGGATCAATACAGTCAGTCTATCAGTTTGTTCTGTTATTGCTCCTGTTTGTGAGTCCGATCACAAACAGGGAGCAGATTGAGGATCCAGGAGCAATAAGACCTGAAATAAGGCTGATTGAACCTCTCTGACCTCACAGTTTCCCAGCATGCCTCAGCTGTGGAGCTGTATGAGGGGGGAGGAGTTTGTCCTGCTGCCCTGTGAGTATCAAACTTTTGAACTGGACAACCCCTCAGTGGTGTGGAGCCGCTACGATCTCAATCCTCCAACCGTCCACCAGCGTCAGCAGGAAGGTGATGAACTTAAAGACCAAAACCAGCTTTACAGCGGCCGAACATCCATGATGGCTGACGCTCTGGAAACTGGAGACCTCAGCCTCAATCTGACAAAACTCCGCCTCTCTGACAGCGGCACCTACACCTGCACCGTCAGATCATCAAGAGGAAAACGGAGAGTGAGAAACATACAGCTGCAAGTCAAAGGTCAGCAACAAACTCTAAATCTCACTGTAGATACAGGTCAGAGGTCAGCACTGTAGATACAGGTCAGAGGTCAGGAAGTTATTTTCTTTATGTTTCTCTTTCCCACAGAACGATTTCCATCCTGGGCCAAAGCTCTCCTGGTTCTCCTGGTTCTTGGTCTTATTGTTGGGGGTCTTTTGGTGCATTTTCGGCAGTATTTCATGTCAGGTATGTCACTACTACATTACCCATAATGCCAATCGTCTTTACTCTTGTAGTTGTGTGAATGTTGAGGCAGAGGTCTGGGATTATAAGAGAAGGATGGGGCAGTGAATCCGGCCCATTATCCTCTACCAGAGTGGAGGCGGCCTGTTCCATCGATAAAACCTCCATGAAGTCCTTGCTCCAGTTCTCCATACTAAAACAGTTTGGCCTAAGTTGTTTCCAGTTCATTAAAATTATCCGTTTAGCTGATAGAAAAGCCAGGACAATAATACTTTGTACAGTTTGGGGTTTTGCAGTGTCCATATTCGCACCTAATACACAGGTTATCAGGCAGGGTTTTATATCTATGTTAAGGACACGTGACAAACTTTCAATAACATTAAACCAAAACCTCTTAACAGGAGGGCAGTACCACAGTAAGTGCAATAGTGTACCCTCCACCTCACAGCCATGCCAGCAGGATTTGGATAATGTGTTATCAAATGTATTCAGATTGCAAGGTGTAATGTAAACTCTGTGTAATATCTTTATCTGTATCATTTGTATCTGACACACTTTGACACTTTTGTACAACTTGTAAGTGCTCTATCCCATTGTGGGAGGGAAATAGGTACACTCATATCACGTTCCCATTGTAATTTAGTTTGGGAGTTTCTGTCAGGAGCAGCAGAACATAATAATTTATACATTGCTGAGACTGTACCTTTCCTGACAGCAATTCCACTTCATTTGTTTTCTACGTCTTTTTTATCCCCTATCTCTTTGGAGAGTAAAGGTTTCATGACAGATTTTATGTGTAGATATGACAGAAATTCTGTATCTGTCAATCCAAATTGTAATTTTAAGTCATTAAACGGGATCATTTTACCATCACTAATTACTTGGCCCAACTAACTTATATTATGCTGTTGCCATACTTTATTCTTATGAAGTTTACCTCCTGCGGTAAACAAAGGATTATTCCACAGTGGACATGATGGTAAAGATGTTCCACTAAAGTTCAAACTCTTCTGGAGAATTCTGACTACATCACATGAGAGCTGTAAGGCTGGATTATTAACTATGGAAATATTTTTGGGATTATACCATAAAACTGTTAAAGTTATGCCTTTGTTATAAGCTTTGAAAATGTTTTCCTCAAGCCACTCCCAACTGCCAATCTCTCTAACGCTGGCATAGGCCCACTGCAGGGGATATCTAGAGTTAAATGCTAGATAATATTGGTATATATCTGGAAGCCCTAATCCTCCTTTAATTCTTGGGTTGATTCATGTTTTATTACTAATCCTAGGTTTTTTGTCCTTCCAAAGAAAACTAGGGGGGGTTAGGGTTAGGGGGGATTTAAGCGGTATAGAAGACATGAGAAAAGCCAACCTTGGTAATATGTTCATTTTTATGACTTCTGATCTTCCCCAGAGGGATAGAGGTAAAACCGTCCACCTTTTAATATCTGGCGCATTTATATCAACAATTTAGTAATTGAGATTGTATTTTAATTCCTAGATATTTCATACCTTGAAGGGTCCACTTAAAAGGGGTTGTGCCCAAATGTGTTTGTTAAGTGAGATGGTTGAGTGGGATGGCCTCACTCTTACTCAGGGCCAGATTAACACTTCACTGTATCCTGGGCAATAATATTCAAGGGCCCCATCATCACGACCCCAGGATCACCATAATCTGGCAAAATACAGAATAAATTACAGTAATATACAGTAAATATACTCAATACTTCAATAACTAACTGTTAAGTTAACTGTCAAGTGCATTTTGATGTACAGATGTGCAAATGCTCATAGAACTACAAATGCACCGCTATGTTCTCGTCAAGACCACTCA